AAGGCAAGAAGATACTTTTTAAATGCCAGCCAACATCCTGGGATGCAAAACAGTACTGGGTCGGTATAATGGAGCTTAGGCACAGTTTGGATACTATGTTTTTAGGGGCTACCCAGGAATGAGAAAGTCAGCCGAAATGTGTAACAGCCTCTGCAGCCTTCTCTCAGTGGGACCTTGGGGACTTCCTCCATCTCTGTCTGACACTTCAAGGGAAAGAAAAGCTCCCCCTTTCATAGTAGACATCTGTACTGGCTCCTTTTGTGTATCACCTTGACACAAGCTACAGTCATCAGAGAAAGGAGCCTCTTCTGTGGAAATGCCTCCATGAGATCCAGATGTAATGCATTTTCTCATTTGGTGATCAGTAGGGGAAGACCCAGGCCATGGTGGGTGGTGTCATCCTTGGGCTGGTGGTCCTGAGTTCTGTAAGAAAGCAGGTAAATACCCCTCCATGGCCTCTGTATCAGCTCCTGCCTCAAGGTTCTTGCCCTGTTTGAGTTCCTGTCCTGACTTCCTCCAATGATGGACTATGATGTGGAAGCCAAATAAACCCTTTCCTCCCCAACTTGTGCTTTGGTCATGGTGTTTTGTCCCAGCAATCGAAACCCTACGACAAATCTCTGTATTGATTTTCTTCCTAAGCATTTTTAGATTTTTGAATTATGTGTATCAGTATGTGCATGTGAGTGCAGATGCCTTTTGAGGCCAGAAGAGGGCATAGGATTGCCCTGGAGCTGGTGTGAGAGGTGGTTGAGGACCAGTGTAGGTTCTGCAAACTGACCTCAGGTCCTCTGCAATAGCAAATGCTCCTCATGCCCCATCACACAGACACACAGACACACACACACACACACACACACACACACACACACACACACACACACACACACACGAGCATGTGTGCTCCCCGTCTTTCCCTGCCTGCCCTCTCCTTGTCTCTTTTCACCACAAACACCATTTGTAGTCCACTGCAAAGACAACACGGATCCACTTCTGTTACCAGCCGTTGGTTTAGACTTCCTTAAACTTTATAGGAGTAGACTCACTCAGCAAGTGTTCTGCCCCCTACCTTGGCAAAGCTATTTTGAGATTTACTCACACAGCACAGTCAATCCTTTTTCACTGTTGAGTAGTATTTCTCTGTACAGCTATACCAGTGTTTGCTTTGCCATTTACTAATTGAGCTGGGCTGACTAGTATTCCTGTTGTCAAGTTGATGAAAGCTGGGGTCACCTGGAACAGGAAAATATCAGGTGAGAAGATTTCTCCATCAGATTGATATGTCTTCAAGGCTGTAAGCATTTTCTTAATGATTGATGTGGGAGAGCCCAAATGATTGTAGGTGCTACTACTCCTGGGAAAGTGGTCCTGGATTGTATGAGAAAGCAGGCTGAGCAAATGATGGAGAAAAAGCCAGTAAGCAGCACCCTCCATGGTCTCTGTCTCAGTTCTGTCTCCAGATTCCTACTCAAAGTGCCTGCTCAGATGGGCTGTGATATGAAAATAGAAGCCAAATAAACCCTTTCCTCATCAAGTTGCTTTTGGTCATGGTATATGTTATAGCATCAGAGAAGCAAACTAATGTAGGATCTTACTAGCAGAGGATAGTCTCGAACTCCCGATCCTCCATTCTCCCCCTCCCAAGTACTGGCTTTACAGACATGCACCACCACACCCAGCTAATGTTATTTTGGGAACATAGTGTTTCTTTCCCGACTCTTAAGGTTTTCCCTCTTCACAGTCTTGGGTTATGATGTTCCTCGGTTTTACTGTTCACTGGACTTCCTGGATCTCTGGGTTTGCACTTTCCTCAATTTGGAAATATTTGGCCATGAATTGTTGACAGCAGCCTCCCGCCTGCTTGCCTTTAGAGACCTAGATCATGGGCATCTGGAGCAAGTTGCTCTTGCCTCACAACTCAGTCTGAGTTTCCTCTCCAATAGTTTCTGTGGCTGTGTCTGCAAGTCCACACTTTCCTCTCCTCCAGTGTCCTGCCTGTCACCCAGGTAGACTCCTCCCTAGAATATTTTTTTTCTCTCATACATATCTCCAAGTTCAAATTGAGTCTTTTGAAAAAGTTTTTTTCCCATGGGATTATATTCCAGGAAATGCAACTACAGTAACTGTTTTGGTGTCTCTTGCTGTTAATCCTACATCTACATTAATTTGGGATGGGTTTTAGTTGAAAGTTCTCACCAAGAGCCCTTATTCCCCAAATCTCATTGTCAGGCAGATCCAAGCAGTGTTTGAGCTGGGGTTAATTATTCTCTATTACTGAGGAAAAAGCGCCTTTCTGAGTACTTTGCCCAATATCTCCTTTTCTTGTTTAATTTCTGGGAACAGACAATGTTAACTGAATGGTATGAGGCACTTTTTTTTAAGTTACATGCTGACTAACATTGTAATTTAAAAAGCAGTGTTTGAGAGAGCTCATGTGGCAGTAGGAAGGGAATGGAAAGGGGGAGGATGGTAGACCGGCCTCTGGGACAGGAGAACAGAAGAGAAAAGGGGGCTGGTGGAGTGAGAAGAAGAGGGAAGCAAGGAGGGAGAGAGTGGGCAGAGGGGAGAGAGAGATGGGGAGAGGAGGTAGGCAGCCCCCCCCTTTTTTTTTTTTTTTTTTTTTTTTTTTTGGTTTTTGGTTTTTTTAGACAGGCTTCCTCTGTGACTTTGGAGCCTGTCCTGGAACTAGCTCTTATAGACCAGGCTGGTCTCGAACTCATAAAGATCTGCCTGCCTCTGCCTCTGCCCTCTGCCTCTGCCCTCTGCCCTCTGCCCTCTGCCTCTGCCTCTGCCCTCTGGCCTCTGCCCTCTGGCCTCTGGCTTCTGCCTCTGCCTCTGCCTGTGCCTCCCAACTGCTGGGATTAAAGGCATGTGCCACCACTGCCCGGCAGCAGGGCCCCTTTTAAAGGGGAACATAATGAATGTGCACAGATGGTGCTCTTAGTGGCTGCAACTGAGGGTGTATCCTGTCAGAACCCCAAGGACAGGCCAGTAGAGATGCCTGAACACTAACAAACATCTCTCCCCATGTCTGAGGAGACTCCTCTGTTGATCTCAAGCCCTCTCCCTGTGCAGCAATCTCCTTCTTGGTAAACTATCCTGGAAACGCTAGCCACGCGAGGTCTCAGTTCTCTTCCAGCTCAGAGTCCACTAGTAACCTCTTGGTTCTCCCCACACTCTAAGTAATAAACGGCGGCAACTGGGGTCCTCATTGGTTCTCTTTTCTTTGTTAGAGACAGCGTTTCTCTGTGTAGCCTTGGCTGTCCTGGAACAGGCTGGCCTTGAACTCACAGAGATCTGCCTGCTTTTGCCTCCAGCATGCTGAATTACTTTTTTCCCTCTCTCAAAAATCAGTGTCTTCCCAGGCTGGAGAAACTCACAGAAACAGCTGACCTGAACAAGGGGGAGCTCATGGACCCTCATTTGACAGCTGGGAAACCAGCACACATAGGACCAACCTAGACCCCTTGAACGTGCGTGTCAGTTAGGAGGACTGGGCAGTCTATGAGGCCTCTGGTAGTGGATCAGTATTTATCCCTAGTGTAAGAATGGACTTTGGGAGCCCATTCTACATAGAGGGATATTCTCTCAGCCTAGACACATGGGGGAGGGCCTAGGCCCTGCTCCAAATGATGTGACAGACTTTGAAGAATCCCATAGAAGGCCTCACCCTCCCTGGGGAGAAGAAAAGGGATGGGATGGTGCTTGGGAGGAGGACAGGGGAGGAAGGGAGGGTGAGGAAACTGGGATTAACATGTAAAACAAGCTTGTTTCAAATTTAAATAAGAAAATATCATAAAAAAATTCGGAGCCTTCAGAGATTGTGGGAGTGGTCAACTAATGACTGGTCCAGCCTGAGACCCAGGCCAAGAGAGTGAGCCCACCCCTGACACTGCCTGGAGTGCCAGGACCCAGAGGCTGGATGGCCCAGAGACCTAGGATAGAACCAAACAAAACTGGAGGGAAAAATTGTCAATGCAATGACATACTCATAGATTAGTGCCTAGCCCAGTTGTCATCAGAGAAGCTTCATCCAGCAACTGATGGAAACAAATGCAGACCCACAGCAAACATTAGGCCAAGTTTGGGGGATCCTGCAGAAGAGGGGGGACTAAGGATTAGCAGAGCCAGAGGACATCACAAGAAAACCCACAGACTCAACCTGGGTTCACAGGGGCTCACAGAGATTGGACAAACAACCAGGGAACATGCATGGGTCCTCTGCATGTATGTCACAGTTGTGTAGCTTGGTCTTCTTGTGGGATCCCTAACAGTGGGAGCAGGAGCTGTCTTTGACTCTTTTGCCGGCTTTTGGGACCCTTTTCTTCACACTCTGCCTCGCTCAGCCTTAGTGAGGTGAGGTGCTTAGTCTTACTACAACGCTATATGCCATGTTTTGTATGTATCCACAGGAGGCCTGTCCTATTCAATAGAAATGGAGACGGAGCAGGTGGTGGGGTGGGGGAAGGTGAGGGTGGAGGGGAGGTAGGGAGAGAGACTGGGAGGAGAGCAGGGAAAAATCAGTGTCATTTTGTTTTGTAACTTTTCTGTTCGCTTTTTCTTTTTTTTTTTTCTGTCTAGGATTTTTGTTGTTTTGTTCTGTTGTGGATGTTATTATTTTAGGCAATAAGATAAATTACTCCATTTAATCCAAATTTAAAACAGTCGTTTACATTATACCCCAAATTCAGTTGGCGCTCAGTTGATGTATGTACTCATTTCAGTAGAGCTTCATTGTGAGTTGTTTGGACTCAGGTAATTTCCGTTGGGTTATCTGTGTTTTGCTTAGCTGGAAATAAGCCTGAACCTTTAAAAAGAAGCAAGCACCAGCCACCATGTCCTTTTGAGATAAAACGTTTTTAATTTTAAAGAAGTCGTAGGCATCGTGCTGGCATTTCCCTAGATGTTAATCTCGAGTCCTAGAGAGAACGTGAATTTTTAGAGGTTTCTGTGAAAACGGTCACATGTAACACCTTCCTTCTCCATTTGACAATGAGTAGACAATGCGTATGAAAATATGCAAGAATCCCAGGAAGTCCTCATGCCCAACCACCTTGACGAAGTCATTGCTGCGGTCAGCGTCACTTCTAAAAAGAGGATCCCAAACAAGCTGCTTCAGACAGCCCTGTTCCAGCCCCCTCGAGAGAAACTCCACCTGTGCAAAGAGAGAGCAAAATCCTACTCCAGCAGCTGTGAGGTAAGGAGCCTTGAGGTCACACACCTGCCCTCTGAGAGCAGAGCCTTCATCACAAGCATGAGAAGCAAGATGGATGGGCTACATCTCTAACCTCAGGACAGGGTAAACCTCAGGCCCAGCCTGAGATTCAGGAGACTCGAGAGAGCCCACCCTCCAGCATGAGTGTAGGCCCTCCTACCAGTGGTTGGCATGCCAACAGCAAATGTTTATTGAGTATAACCAGTGCTCTTCATTGTCAGCCTGGCTGGATTCAGTCATTAGGAGGCCGTGGTGTGTCTGTGAAGTCATTTCCAGAAAGGGATACCTGAAGGTTAAAGGCCCACCTGTGGGTACATCCCCATGAGCTTAGGCTCTAGTGAATGAGGAAAAAGGAAAAACCTTTATGAGGGCCAGCATTCCATTTGCTTCCTGACTGCTGTGATGTAGGTTACCCTACTGCCACACTCTCCTTGCCATGATAGACTGAGCCCTCACAAACACTGAGCTAAAGCAAACTCCTTTTTAGTTGTTTCTATTGGGATTTTGACCAGGCCTGCGGTGGCTTACAGCACAGACCAAATGAAACTTCTGCTTATGTACAGCCCATTCGAATGCTCTTGACTTTTCTTGTTCCTTGCGTCTTCCTTCCCATCCCCCCTCACAAAGGTTACCCAGTCCCTCGCTCAGTTTCATATGCCAGGCCCTATTTGTTCATTCCTGTATTTCACAAATCTCTCTTGTGTGCCTCATGTTTTCCTGGTGTTGTGAAAGCACCAGAGGCACACAGGGAGACCACAGCCCTAGAGGGAGTTCTGTGTGGTGGGATTGGCATGATAGAAGGACAGTCGTGATGAGTTCTATAGCAGGTTCATATCGTACCCACACAGGTCAGAAAAGGGGGGAAGGACAGCTAAAGCTGTCCTAGGATGAAAGCTCCTGCTGATGCAGTGCCCTAGAAACAGTGCTTAGGAGTCCTCCTGATGAGAAGACAGAAGCTTTAGGAACTAAAGTGGTGGATGGAAACGTACCAAAGACCTGGGAAGCACAGTGTCGTTGAGGAACTAGAAGGAACACTGGAACAAAGGTTTTGGTAACACGCTGAGAAGTAAGCTGCACCACACATAGAATCCAGGACCTGAAATACACCCAGTGTTCAGACAGAGTATTCTGGACTGTCAGCAGGAAAAGGCCATGGGCAGAAGATTCACTCCGTAGCTGTTCATTGGTTGAGTGAGAAATAAATGTAACTAGAAGAGAGGGCTAGGCTAGGGGGAAATTTGCAGCAGTCTTGGAAAGGAAGTCGGAAGGATTGGAGGTGAGGCAGAGATGCTGAGCTCCTCTGAAGGAAATGTAAAAAGGTAAATTGGTGAGACTGACTTTAGAGGGAGCATAGGAGATAAGAGAGGTGAGTGAGGTGGAGGGGTGGGCCATTCTGACTTAGACTCCATCTGCCTGGGTGACTGGAGGTGTACCTCTGCCCTTCTGGCCTGCAGCAAAGGAACCTGTGTTCATTCCGTACCTATTGTGTGTCAACACTGGTGTTGAGTAAGCTCTGGGCCAGCTCCTCAGCCATGGCTTCACAGGAGAAATAATACTTCATGCACAAAAGCCTTCAGCATTTGTAAGGCATGAACTGCCCTCATGTATCTAGAAGGGTACAAGCATTTCTTGATTCTGTGTTTCCAGTAAGGATGCCTAGGATAGATAGTGAGCAGGATAGAGCAGGGGTGGCTGCTTGTAGACAAGCCAGAGTTGTTGATTGTGAAGTGTGTTAAGGAGGGAATAGAGTGGATCCAGCTAGGGCACCTAGGGCAGGGAGGGCCTTGGACATAGCCAGTGAGCTGAGAACTCCAGAAGGAAAGAAGCTAGCTGTGGGAGCAGAGCCCTGAATGCGGGGTGGGATGGGGTGGGGTGTGCAGAACACGTGGGAAATCTCCAGGGCAGCCTTGAGTGTGCCATGTCTGAAGTGAAGAGAGGAAGCCATGGGCTGAGATGACACATGGATATAGAAGCAATCAGTCCAGTTAGGACCTTGCATAGTACAAGCTGAATACAACCTACAAGATCTTAACATTCCACCTGGTGTAACTTATTCTAAAAAACATCCATTTCTATGTAGCTGCTAATTTTAAAATATGTTCAGACAGAAAAGTTCTGACTTGGGCTGGAGATGGCTCAGAGGTTAAGAGCACTGGCTGCTCTTCCAGAGGTCCTGAGTTCAATTCCAAGTAATCACATGTGGATCACAGCCACTTGTAGTGAGATCTGGAGCTGTCTTCTGGCCTGCAGGCATACATGCAGACAGAACACTATGTATAATTAATAAATCTTTTAAAAAGTTATGACTCCTCAGTTGTCAGTATTTATTTTAATCATTTACTCATCTGTCTATTATGCCACTGAGCCAAATCCCAGTATATTTACTTAGATCTTTTGTTTAATTCTGTCTCTCTTTCCCCTTACTGTAAAGTTTCTCAGCTAAGAACAGGTTATAGATATTATATATAGTATGTAAGAGTATTATATACATAATATATAGAGCTATATGTTCTCTTTAAGAATGAGAATATTCTTCATATAACCACAGCACAGTGATTGAAATTAGGAAGCTAATGTTTGTGTAATAGTGTCACATAATTTGTAAAAAAACAAAAACAAAACCAAAAAACCCAAATAGATCCATGGATAGATAGGAGTCCACACTGAGTATAGATGTAGTTTCTCTTCGGTCTCCTTCAGTCTGTTGCAGGTTCCTAACCTGAAGCGATGACTCATATGTTCTATTATATCAGGGGTGAGAACCTAATTGATCAGAGACGTGGTGGAAAGTGACCAGCGACCTCCTTCTCTCTCCTTCCTCCAATCCAAAAGGGACCACAAATCTTTCTAAGCCTCTATCTACTACTTCTTATGTCTCTCTTTATGTCCTAGGTCCTCCAAAACCTTTATGGTTAATTCTTCTGGCCAGCTAGTAGCTAGCTCCACCCTCTGATTCAAAGTAAACTTTATTGGCAGTCTCGGAGTGTCAGACTGTGATCAAAATATCCCACAACACTAGCCATCTCAGCCTTTCCTGTTCTTGATATTTTGTGTTGCAAAAGCAACACAAAGAGAAGACATTTGTTTGGGCCACAGTTGGAGGGTGCACACCACTATGGCAGTAGGAGCATGGAGCATCCAGTCAGGAAGGAAAGAGAAATGAGAGAAGTATGCTGGTACTTAGCATGCCTTACCTGTTTTATCCAGTCTAGAATCCCAGCCCTTGGGGTGGTGATGTCTCTGATAACACTCTCCATAAGACCCAGAGCTGTGTCCTGGATGACCCAGATCCTGTCAAAGTGGCAGTGTTAGTCATCACAAATGCAAAGGACAGAGCTGAAGTGTGTTGTTTGACAACCGCTACCACTGTCACCTGGACCTACTAGAGCTGTTTACTGGAATGTTGACTGGAAACACCTAGGAGGTGATCAAATGTCTGCTCTACCGTAGTTTTTCTTTATCCCTCCATGTTTCCCACCAATAAATTGTTTCTTCTTCTTCTTCTCCTCCTACTCCTCCTCCTCCTCCTCCTCCCCCTCCTCCTTCTTCTTTCTTCTTCTTCTTCTTTGGGTTTTCAAGACAGGTTTCTCTGTAACTTTGGAGTCTGTCCTGTCCTGGAATTAGCTCTTGTAGACCAGGCTGGTCTCAAACTCACAAAGATCTGCTTGCCTTTGCCTCCCTACTGTTTGGATTAAAGGTATGCACCACCACTGCTATAAATTGTATTTACTTCTTAAATGAATTCTTGTGTGCTTCATCCAACCAGATGAACCCTCTACCACCCCAAACAGATCATTTTTGATTCTCTGACACATCCCAAGTGCTTAGCACATAGAAAACACTCAGTAAACATTTGTTAGGTGGATGTACTTACAAGTAGGCCATGGGACTCTTAGGTTCTAAGCTGTCTGCATGGTAAACCCATTTTCTTCTTCTGACAGTATAAACAGGCCATCCAGGAGCTTGTGCGCTGTGTGGCATTGACAAGAATTTGCTATGGCGACTCACACTGGAAACTAGCAGAGGCATATGTTAATCTGGCTCAAGGCTACCTGCAGCTGAAAGGTAAGCTTCTCTGGGGCCAGTAGGGATCAGCTCATCTGCCAGTGGGCTTCTGTTCTCCCTGTCTCGGAACTGATTCACACCAGAGGGATCCGGTTTTCATGGTAGTCCTTTCCAAGTACTAAGAAGAGATTCCATTTTAGGAAGAATCAGTAAGGTGTGGAGCATGCAGGTATCAACAGAAAGAAAGGAAGATTGTGATGTGTGTGTGTTTTTGGTTTTTGGTTTTTTGATGTTGTTGTTGTCTTAAAACTGGAGTTCTTGAAAGATAATCTGTTGGATCCAAAGTGGCTGGAAAGAAGACAAGGCATGGGATAGGGGCTTTGAGTGGACCCAGTCATAGTTTTCTAGAGAGGTGGGAGGCAAGGGGCTGAGAGAGAGAGAGAGAGAGAGAGAGAGAGAGAGAGAGAGAGACTCTTGAGTGTAAGTAGCCAAAAAAAAAAAAAAAAAAAAAAAAAAAAAAAAACAGAAAGGCAAAGCCAAGCTGACATCAGCTTATTAAGCTTACAAAGCTAAGGTGCAACTTGCTTTATGCCAGCCATAGGTGTTCAGGATTCAGCCTCTCCCTTTTTCCCTTTCACATCATTTGGCTCCGTTTTGGCATTAGCTCCGTCATAGCCATGCTTTGCCCATAAGACTTTTAGGTTTCCTTGCTAAGCATGATCAAAAAAAAAAAGAGTCAAAACACCCAGGGTTTGGAGGCACCCTGTTTAGACCACCCTGGAGTATATGCTGAAATGAAAACGAAGTCTGATAGCTCAGACCTGGGTGTCGGTTCTCCAGTTATGGGGAAGGAAGCTGGTTTTGGCCAGCTTGGGATGCGCATGGGTCGAGCATCAGAAGAAAACAGGTGGAGATGGTGCAGGAAGGTAAAAAAGCAGATACTCATCATGTGGTGCTTTCTGCTTGCTGACTGTGTTGATTCACACAAGGCATACCACAGCACCCTGCTAGACTCAGTTCATCCGCCCAAGAGAAGAGCAGTGATAGGATGTTGGTGACACAAGCTTCCCAGGTCCAGTGAGTGGCCCTACAACTGGAAAGTACACAAGGTCAGATTATTCTTACCTGTTAGTCAAAGGCCATCAGCGCCAGAAGGGGCATTGGAGATCATCTCGTTAACACCTCCTTAGGATTTTCTAGAGTCAGAGAAAATAGATCCGAGTCAGAACAGCTTGCTGCAAAACCACATTGTTAATAAGTGGCTGATCTGAGACTCAGACCTGGGAATGGCATGCCGGTACCAGTGTCCGGCCATCTGGGATTTCAAATCCTGCCTTCCTTCTGCAGCCCATGCCCTTCTGCATGGATCTTTCCTTCTCAGTTTAAAGTCACTATTGTGCAGGATCTCACAGAGGGCCAGCCACCATGCCAATTGTCATACAAAACCTATTTAGACTTCACATTTACCTGTGTGTGTGTGTGTGTGTGTGTGTGTGTGTGTGTGTGTGTGTGTGTGTGTGTGTGCGCTTGTTATTCCTCTTCACCGTCAAGGTAGCTGAGACCAGTTTCTTAGTGAGTGGTAGAGCAGAGAATTTATTCTGGGCAGTCTCGATGATGTAGAGGCCATATTCTTGAAATTGAGCTTGTGCTGTCTCTAGTAGATTAAGTTCAAGTTCTTTTTTGTTTTGCTTTTTGAGACATGTTTTCTCTGTGTATCCCTGGCTGTCCTGGATCTCACTCTGTAGACCAGGCTGGCCTCAAACTCACAGTGATTTGCCCACCTTTGCCTCTCAAGTGCTGGGACTAAAGGCATGCACTACTACCACCTGGCTACATTCAAGTTCTACCTATAATCCTAATCCATCACTACAGGTAGGTCACAGACAATTGACAGTGATAAATTCCTAACAGCCAAGTTAAAGCTATGGCTTTAAAATATGACAGACAGAATTCTGCAAGGGTTCCCACACAAAGAGCATGGGCTTGCTTTTTCTCCATTAAAACATATATTGTTTCTGTTTCATAGACATGGGAATGGGATTAACTATATATTTTGACAACTTTTGCAAAGAGCTGAGATACAATTAAGTGAAATTCAGAACACAGGGCTGGAGATGTATGAATGTGAGTGGAAAGGGTTGTCAGTGTGAAGGTGGAAGGTGGTAGCGTGGGGAGGGTGCCAAGCACAGACCCCCCCAGCTGGCATTCCTCAGTCGCCCCCCCCCCCACAGTTTAATCAGCCCCTGGAAGAACTCTGGAACATGTGGGGAAATCAGTAATAACATTTATTACTCTCTCTCTCATGTTAGTCTGTGACTATCCAGCAACAAGAGATCACAGCACAGTAGTGTGTTAGCTCCTTGGAGTTGTATTTATAAGTATTTATAGCCGCCATGTTTGTGTCATGCTAAAAGAACTCTAATATTATGGCTGTAAATCGGTGAGCAGAAGACTCAGAATTTTTAGTATTTCATTTAGATTGCTGTCACTCAGCCAGGATCACAATTCCTGAATAGCTTGTTTCCTACCCAGAATGCTGCGGTCCTTGCATTCCATTTGTGTTTTGATAATTATTTATATTTTACATCTGATGCTGGTGATGTTTCAAAGCTGTTCAGTTCCAGCTCGCTGTGCTTATTTTATTTCAAAAAAGGCCACGTTGGGAAATGTTTTTCATCTTGAATATTTGATATAAAAACAACTTTTTGCTTGTTCCAGTCAAGGTACTAGTTCCTGCCTCCCAGATCAATGTTCGTGTGCTACTGGACAGCAAGTGGTGGCCTTGCCAGGGTTCCTGGCCATGGAGAATCACGTTCCTAACCAGCTGAGATTAAAGAGAAACTGACACTTGTGCTTCTCTATCTACAGGGTTGTCACTACAAGCAAAGCAACATGCAGAAAAAGCCAAAGAAATCCTAGCCAACTCCATTGAGAGTCCCTATCATGACAATACAGATATCTTCAAGTGTTCCTTAGAGCTTTTCTATACCATGGGGAAAGCTCTGCTGTCCCTTCAAAAGTATCCTTTTGCTTCCAATCTTCACAAACAGAAAGCACCATTGCTGTGATTCTTATAGTTAATTCTCAAAGCCAAACAAAAAGTTGCTAGGTGATTCGGGGATAACAGGAAGTATTATATGAGCAAAGAAAGTCCAGGATATGGGGTTTCAGAATCTAAGAACCAGTGGAACTTTTCCTGAACATATTTCAGATTTAAAGAAGCCTCAGAGAACTTGGTAAAAGCAGAAAGACTTTCCAAGGAGATGCTGCAATGTGGGAACATTATAAAGGAGGAGTGGGTAGAAATGCAAGCTCGGATCAAGATGTCCTTTGCACAGTAAGTTTCCAGTTTAGAATTTGTGTGCATGAAGATTGAAGGCTCTTAGGCTCTGTCCATGGATTCCCCCTAGGTCATTGTTTGATAAAGAGTGACACCATCATGTCAAATCAGCCCTAACCAAGACAAACACCTGTGATACTTGTTACTTGATATAGAATGCACTCATACCACACACCCTTCCCCGATAGTCACAAAGATCCTCTCATCATCCCCCAGACTTACTTCCTGCCTGCTCTGCCCATCCCTGCTGCCGCTTCATCCCTTTCCACACTGATACTGGGGTGTTCTTTCTTAGGTTCTGCCCCTGGCATGGGATTCCTGGTTACAGGAGAGCAGCATACTACAAGTTCACTAGACACTGACCCATCACTATACCCAGCTATGTGGCCTCTTGAAGGATTGATAGAGTCCTATCTTGCTACAGCCCCAACAATATTTGCCACTGTAAAACTCTCTAGCTTGCTGTCCTGAAGTATGTACCATGCTACCCAATTGTTTTTTCCTTTCCTTTACTTTGAACTTAGTGAACCAATGAGTTTGAATACCTCTGTATGCCTGTGAGCCATTTAGAATTCTCCTTCCTCAAATAGCCTGTTAAGGCCTATCTTATCTTTCTTTTGGAATTCTCTGTGCTTTTCACACTAATAATTGAGGTTTCTATCATATGCTATACATGTGAATTATGTTAATATATTTTCTTATATCTATTGACCTTTATTTTGTCTATGCTGTTCTTCATAATGTAGAATTTCTTCATTCTACCATACTCATATTCATTACTTTTTTTCCCGTTTTAATTTATGCCTTTGGGTTTTGTTTGGAAAGTATTTCCCATTCTAACAACCAAGTCTCCATAATTTCCCTCTACCTCAGCTAAGCACTGAGCCAAACTCCTGGAATTCAGCTGTAGAGAGGGAGGAATGATGAGCAAAGGAATCAAGACCAAGCTGGAGAAACCCACAGAAACAGCTGACCTGAGCAAGTAGAAGTTCATAGATCCCCAGTCTGACAGCTGGGGAACCAGCATAGGACTGAGGCCCCCTAGACATGGGTGTCAGTTGGGAGGCCTGGGAAGTCTATGCGGCCTCTAACAGTGGAGCCAGTATTTATTCCTAGTGCATGAATGGACTTTGAGAGCCCATTCCCTATGGAGGGATACTCTCTCAGCCTAGAGACATGGGGGAGAGCCTAGGTACTTCCCCAAATGATAAGACAGACTCTGATGATCTCCCATGGGAGGCCTCAACTTTTTCTGAGGAATGGATGGGGGATGGGATTGGGGGCGGTGAGGGGAATGGGAGGATGGGAGGGAGAGGGAACTGGGATTGATGTTTAAAATAAGATTGTTTTTAACTTAAATAAAAATTTATTTTTTAAAAAAAACTACTTTTACATGCCAATCCCAGTTCTCCCTCTCTCCCCTCCTCCCACTTTCCCCCTCCCCCTCCCCCCTTCTGCTCCTAAAAGGGAGTGAGGCCTCCCATGGGGAGTCAAGAAGTCTGTCCCATCACCATGTTGAGGCAGGGCCAAGGCCCTGTCCAGTGTCTAGGCTGAGCAAGGTATCTCTTCATAGGGAATGGGCTCCAAAAAGCCAGTTCATGTACTAGGGATAGATCCTGGTCCCACAAACTGCCCAAGCCACACAACTGTCACCCACATTCAGTTCAGCCCTTTGAAGGTTCCCCAGTTGTCAGTCTGGAGTCAGTGCGTGCGCTCCTGCTAGCTCAGGTCAGCTGTTTCCATGGTTTCCCCATCATGGTCTTGACCCCTTTACTCATATTATCGCTCCTCCCTCTTTTCAACTGGTTTCAGAAGCTTGGCCCAATGCTTAGCTGTGGATGTCCACATCTGCTTCCATCAGTTACCAGATGAAGGTTCATGTTTGTCTTTCTGGGTCTGGGTTACCTCACTCAGGATCATTTTAACTAGTTCTGTCCTTTTGCCTGCAAACTTCAAGATGTCATTTTTTTTTTTTTTTTTTTTTAACCACTAACTAATACTCCATTGTGTAAATGTGCCACATTTTCTTCATCCATTCCTCAGTTGAGGGGCATCTAGGTTATTTCCCGGTTCTAGCTATTATGAGTAATACTGCTATGAACATAGATGAGCAGGTGTCCTTGTGGTATGATTGAGCATCCTTTGGGTATATGTCCAAGAGTGGTATTGCTGGGTCTTCAGTGAGGTAGCTCCATTCCCAATTTTCTGAGAAGCCACCATACTGGTTTCCAATGTGGCTGTATAAGTTTGCACTCCCACAAGCAGTGGATGAGTGGTCCCTTACTCTATATCCTCTCTAACGTAATCTGTCTTCAGTGTTTTTAATTTTAGCCATTCTGACAGGTATAAAATGGTATCTCAGAGTTGTTTTGATTTGCATTTCTCTGATGACTAAGGATGTTGAGCAATTAATTCCTTAAGTGTCTTTTGGCCATTTGAGATTCCTCTGTGGAGAATTCTCTGTTTATATCTGTATGCCATTTTTAAATTGGATTATTTGGTCTTTTAAAGTCTAGTTTCTTGCGTTCTTTGTGTATTTTGGAGATCAGCCCTCTGTCAGATATGGGATTGGTGAAGATCTTTTCCCACTCTGTGGCCTGCCATTTTGTCTTGTTGAACATGTCCTTTGCCTTATAGAAGCTTCTCCATTTCAGGAGGTCCCATTTATTAATTGTCGATCTCAGTGTCTGTGGTCTCTTTTGCCCATGCATTCAAGGCTGCTTCCCACTTTCTCTTCTGTGAGGTTCAGTGTGGTTGGTTTTTCGGTTGAGGTCTTTTTGATCCATTTAAATTTGAATTTTGTACATGGCGATCTATTTGCATTCTTCTAAATGTGGACATCCAGTTATGCCAGCACTATTTGTTAAAGATGCTTTCTTTTTTCCATTGTATAATTTTAGTTTCTTTGTCAAAAATCAGGTGTTTATAGGTGATTTGATTCCATTGGTCCACCTATCTATTTTTGTGCTGATACCAAGCTGTTATCATTACTACAGCTCTATAGTAGAGCTTGAAGGCAGAAAAGGTAATGTCTCCCAAAATTCCTTTATTTTACAAAATTGTTTTGGCTGTCCTGAGTTTCTTGTTTTTCCATATTGTTTATTTTTGTGGGATTTTTTTGTGTTTGTTTGTTTTTTCAAGCCAGGTTTTCTCTGTGAAACAGTCCTGGCTGTCCTAGAACTCAGAGGGAACTGCCTGCCTCTGCCTCCCAGGTGCTGGGATTAAAGGCATGCACCACCATGGCCCGGCTACCTCATACGTTTTAAGATAATAAAAAATATGTGTGTATATGTGTGGGTCTGTGCACGAGTGCAGTGCCTGAGGAGGCCAGAAGGTAGTGTCAAGTCTCTGGCACTGGAGTCAAGGTGATTATGATCCACCTGATGGGGGTGTTGGGAACCAAATTAGGGTCCCCTGCAGGAGCAAGATGGGCTGCTAAACTGCCAAGCACCTCTCCAGCCTCTACCTCATGTTTTGACCATGGTGTTATCACTCATTGCATTCTTAGTATTTCATATCTCAGTTAGAAACTTCACTTTGAATAATCTGAGATGATCCAAATGAGGGGTCTATGCTGCAGACCTCTCAGTGGGCAACGGGTCTTCCGGGAGACCAAGACTTGGATGACCAGGTCAGGAGTGGCTTTGGCTTGACAGACAGACACAAACACACTCAAGGAGGTTTGCAACTGCTGTGTTTTTACTTTAGAATATTGGGTTTTTATACAGAAAGTTCAAGGAACAGATCTTTGGTCACAGTTTACAGACATATTATAAAAATGTCAGTAATTCCTTTGAAGCATGAGATCAAAAATCACCTATTTTGACCTGCCTGTGGTCAGCGTACCAGAGATTTGGTTTACTGAGTTTAGAGAAAAGTCATTGTCTCTGATCAGTAAACTGTTAACAGCAGAGACAAGAACTCTTGCATTGCTTTACTAATTTAGAGGATAGTCAAACTTGTAACAGTATTGTTAAGAACTCTTGTACTGTTTTCCTTTTAGTAAATCCCACAGCAGCTTTGCTGAGGGTTGGCTATTGTCAGGCAGGGTCATCTAGTGGGTGAATTTCTACAGCTTTAGTTACGTTAATTAATTTATCAGGCCTAGGGCTGACACCTGGAGTCTCAACTGGCCTGTGAGTATTGTAATTAAGGGCACTGAGGACAGCATCCATTTGCTGATAAGTCTGTATCTCTTTCAGTTTCTGAAACAATATCTAAGTGTTCTCCAGGCTTCTTTGAACTAACAGTGGAGCTACATGGGCCAAAACACCCATGATCGAAAGCATTATTGTTATCATAGCACAAAATACACTCAGTACCCATTCCAATCAGCCAGCCAAGTAAGCACCTGCAGGGACCTGGCCACTTCTTGCCAGGAGGCGTAACCACATGTGGTGTGAACCTCTGGACAGGTAGCCACTCGAGGTTCCTCTCAGCCATTGCTACACTGTCCCCACTGGGGCTGGTAAGACAGTTCCCCCTTTTTTATTTTTTAAATGGAACAGCTGGAAATCGCGATGGAGGGTGCTGATGGAGTGAAGTGCTACCCTGAAAAGAATAAATAAGATAGCAGCTCCAATTCCTAGAAAAACAAAATACTGAGTCCAACTTAATGGATTTAGGGATCTTAGATTTTCTCAAAATGTTGATGCTAGACTTGAAATGTCCCAGATATTTATGTTTTTCTGACTCATGACTGTAATTTTCTCCTGCAGTGCCTTGATATAGGTTAAATTGATATCCTTTCATATTCCTAATAAATTTGTCTTAGTCTTGTTCCAATTAGAGGAAGAGTTATATGGAAGAGGTGTAACATAGATATACTTAAACTCTGCATGGCATTTAGTTACTAACTGTGTCTTAAGATTTTGTATGTCTTGACCCATTTCTATCATTGCCTCTTGCAAAGCATTTATTCTAGCTTCTAATTTCAGATCTATTAACCTCTGTTTTGACAAAGCAAAGGTGACATTTTTATGTATGTCATTTACAAA